TGATAAAGCAAATCTATTAGGTCAATTGTGGCTTTATAAATTTCTTTCAAAATTATTCGATAAAATGTTTAAAGCTTAACTATAAATCCAATTTAGAATTGTTTAAAAAAAATGAAATTTCCTATAACATGTAACTAAAGGAAAACGCTTTTGTTTTTTGTGTAAATATTGTCAAACATAAATGCATATTCGGTAAGTTAGAGTTAATAAACAAAAAATCAATTATTAAAAAGTGTTATCTAGAAATATCTTGATTAATTTCCTACGTAAAACCTTGAAATCTATATTGAGATAGTATTTTTATCATTAATATTGAATAATCAAAATAACTAACTTATGTGTTCATGTGATTTTTAGATTTCAAATTTTACTTGTAATTCCAAGAATTTAAAAAATTTTACATGCTTTATTTAGATCAGTTCTGATAAAATGCGCCATGACCTAATTGGAACTCAATATAACGATTTGGCACTTGTCATAGTGATATAATAGTGCATCTCGTTGTATTGTTTTAAACCCACGTTCGTTGTCTTGAGTCGCGAGTAATAGTTTTTCCGAGTAACAAGGGACGGAATTATTTGATGATACAGACGAAAAATGTGGTATGATTTTCAGAATGATTGAGCTTAGGCTTTCCAAAGAATCTAATTTGCTAAATGAGATGCTAATTCAGGCGAACAAGTGCAAAATAAATCTCAATTTAGGTGTCTTTTACATTGATAAGTAATCATTCACCTCAGAAACCGCTTAAATTAAGTTTTGAACATGAAAACAAAAACAAGGTTTAGAACAAAAAGGGTAAGTTGTATTTAAAAAACTAATAATCAGAGCGCAGCGTGGTGACATACTCGTTCGTTTTCTTTATCAATATAATGCATCAATAGTTTTATGTGTTTACTCAAAAATTTCGTGTGTTTACTATCGCAAACATATTGGTTCCAGTAATTATTATTGTACACCATATCTTTATAAGAATGTCTTTTATTATAATTGGTTTTCGAACAGGAATTAGAACATGTTAATGGCAAAAATTTTAAAGACGCTAACCACTCGTAATGAATTGTTTGAGATACAGTATTTTTCAGATCGTGATTGCATTATGTGTGCCTATATGCGCGAATCTTTCGAATAACAGAAAACGCTTTATGCGCATATACGTATAATAAGATCATTTTATAAAACTAGCATATATAATTATTATATATTCAATGCATTTGCATTTGTATGAGTAAATAAAGTAACACAATTTTTCATTCAAAAATTATTATTAGCATATCTATTGTTACTGTATTATGGCTTTTGCAACCATTAAGAACAATACAAGCAAGCAATTCAAAAATAGATATTCGGAATTATCATACCGAACTTATTTCCCTAGTATTTTATTGATGCATACGTCTGGACAAAGAAGACTGCTGTTTATTCGGCTAAAATTTTTCAATTATTACCTCGAAAACTATATTGATATATTTTGATGTGGCTGCGAAAAAACGCCTTTCGACATTTGATTATTTGATTGGGAAATGATCTGAATTTTAGGTTTTCGTTTTTTTTAATAGGTATCAATTTGAGAATGCTAAATTAGAAGTAAGTAAATGCTTTAAGATTATTTACAGGTATATAACTTTTCTGTATCGTATATCCCCAAGCCTAAATTGGGTAATGGGTTGAATGGTTGATCAATTATAATTTTAGAATCAATTTTCAACGATGAACATTATATTCTGATATTCGTAAAAGAAATTGATGAAATTTCAATTCAAAAAATCTATAGAAAGTGCAATGACAAAAATATATAAGCTCCACGATAATGTTTTATAATTAAATGTTTTCGTATGTCACGAGCCCAAATATTATGACAGAACCTGCAGATTAAAATACCATTGTTCAAGTTATTTACGGATATTAATATTAATGATTTTCAAAGGGTTTTTGTTATCGTTATGTACATAAATGCGCTACACCTGCATTTTTGTTTATTATGTATTAGGGGCAAGCAATCAAAATACGTTTCTTCATCGAATGAAGAACCGCATTTAATGTAAAGAGCGGTCATTCTTCTTTTTTTACGCCCGAATATGGGGTTTTAGGTATGTGAAAAACACGTAATTCTGCTTTTTTATCGCAGTAAATGATCTTTCTCCGCGAATAAAGAGATTTCTATTTATTATTCAAAATTGTGCTCTATATTTGCCCCTTAGTGTTTTCGTTGGGGGTGTTCGAACACGAGAGAATTGGTTTCATTTTGATAGCGTGAGAATCGTCGTTTTTCATTAGACGCGAGATTATTTTCTTAATATTCGGTTTTAGAAACTTGATCTCCCACGAAGCAAAAGGATTAATCATTCAGAAATTCGGTGAGTCGGTTTAAAGTAACCATTTTCAACTTTTATTTGTGCTATTTATTAAGAATCCTATTCGGATTGGAAAGGCTGAAACTTGAAACAATACCTTGTCTAAACAGTAACTTTGTAAATTTTTTAATTACAGTTTGTCTTAACACATCAGTCATGAAAATTTATTAATAATAAAATAAATGACTTTTAAGATATATATTGGCAATAAGCGACACATGCTAATTTGCAATTACTGTTTCATTATTAAATGATTATGGGTATACTTATCTAAAAGTAAAATTTAAGAATATACATTTTTTTTTTTAACAGAACGAGCATTATTGGGTGAACAGAAATGCATTAGAAATCATTTTTTAGCACGGAAATCGCGGTTTCATAGTTTTTTATAATTTTTGAAACAAAATCAGTCTTTTCTTCTTTTTGTACAAGGCTACAGTTAATTAGATTCTATTATAATATGAAACATATGATTTATAATAATTTTGTTTTACTCTTAAACAAATAACGTACATTCTAGATTTATGTTGGGTGACATTGAATATAGATTGACTACTACATGTATTAGATTTGCTATATGCCACAGACACTCGCTTTGCAAATTACAATATTTTAGCATATTGTTAAAACTGCAAAAACACACATTGTATTTCTGGTACGCTTCCAATATTTTCTAATGGTTTGCTATAAATAATAAAAAAGCAGGGGGTATTGGTCTGGAATATGCCGATATACATACATATAATGACAATTTAAAAAATTTCCAAAACAGGAAGTAATCTAAGGTCCAACTCGTCTCACGTAACATCATTTTTTAAATCGGCATCATGCAAGCTATTGGTTGATACCAATTAACATTGTACATGTACGCATATTAATACGCTAGGGTATAGTACCTGTTTTCCTAAATAGTCAAATCACCAATTACACCACCAACTTTTAGATAAAAATCACGAAATTTGTTTTATCCTTAAATTATGTCGCGATTAGAACCAATTATTGGAAATTTCTCTAAGCGTTAACCAGACGATAAATTTTTTATTCCAAGTGTGTGCACCCAGGTGCACAGTCTAATTAATAAATTAGTCATACATCATAAGACCATTTTTTCAATCAGTATTTAAAATGCAAATATTTTGGAAGCCCGCTTTTCGTCGTCCCAAACAATGCAATCTCATTATCTATTGTTTCAAATTGAATTAATTGCGCAGAATTATGTTGATTGAAAAAATATATTTGCAATAAAACAAAATGCTTGATGGTATCACATGATAAATAAAAACAAGGGGTAAGGTTAATAATAAATTTAAACATGGTAATTATTATTACATTCATTCGCTATTACTTTTTTCCGTGTCTGATTTGGCCTTTGTGCATCGTATCTTCAATATTAAAGCAGCGAGTGTTTCCAAAGGTGAATTGTTTTTATATACCTTTCAATAGCTTTTTGGTTATACGAATATGCATTTGGGTTTCTTTAAAAAAAAGGATATTTTAATGATACTCATTATTATGATGACGATAAATAAATATTGCAGGGTCTTGTCACCGAATATGAGACATTGTAAATCCGGTTTAAAAACGACTTGAATCGGGTTAAGGGATTATGTACTACATCATGTTTTTCGTATAAAAAAATGTAATGTGCATTCTTATCTCCTATGTGCATCAATACTTCTATCCATTTAGAATTTTTACATTTTAAGCTCTTTTATGTATTTAATCCTGGATATAATTGGTATCGTTATATCGTTTATTTCTAAATGGTATATTAATATCTGCCAAACACAAGAATGGACATAAAAACCAATAATATCTTTGAGCTAACTACATGTATCAATCAATCCTAAAAAGTTTTGGAAAAGAAAACACGAAAGAAATTGATTATATTAAAACCAGACGATTACGAACCAATGCATTTCGTAGTTCTACGCTGACCGCATAAGCATAATGCATGAAAACATCATCATCATCCAAAACCGAAAGTCTCAGACTTAATAAATGATCAATGAAACCGTAGACCTGCGGAGATTTTCTTAAGGTTTATATTACTTTTGATTTGTAAGCAAAGGAGCTTATCGAAGGAGCTTCAGAATGTGAAATTTTAGAGACTCAAAGATCACCCTATTATACGTCTATTCATTGCTATCCATTGCATGTATTTACATCATCATTTTGCGCTGTGACGTTTAATTATCACTCATTGTTAATTAATATTAGGCATGCAATGTGAGGATGAATTTTGTTTTGAATATTATCGTTATATCCGATTATTATGGATTTTCTGTTGGTTTTTCAATATGTTAAATGGAAGTTACTTTTTATAGAAATTAAGTAGCACAATTCATCGTTCAATATGTGGCTAATAAATTACCTAAAAATATAATGAATAGTATAAAAAGATGTGCTACCAGTGCAACTTTATTTTCCCTCCAAAAATATACGTATATAATCGGCAAAAATATATATTATTACAATACTGTGTATAAAAAATTGTAAATAGATATATAAGAATAAAAAGCAGGTTTTGTTTTTTCATAGAGCCTTTTGCGTGAAGCAATCAATCAAAAAAAATTTTTTTTTAACATTTATTTTTCGATATTATTTCCCTTCCTTCTACAACTTCCTTTTTTGCTCTCCCAAGTTATGAACACGATTGCAGGAAAAAGGCCACCTGCTCCTGGGCAAAGTGAATCAGCTCCTAAAGATAAACGTCTCAAGACAATTGCTTGTGACCGTTGTCGTAGACGAAAGGTAAAATTTGAACGTCAATACATCTAGAATAGTTTTTGATACTTTAAAGTAACCAATTATATGCTTACAGGTTCTTCGTTTTTGTAATTATTTTATGAGAAATTTTATTAATCGTTTTTCAACAAAAAATTCTGTTTATGAGAAAAGAAGTTAGCGATCCGCTTATGATCCATTGTAATTATATATTATATAAAAATATATATATAATATATATATATCTATATATATATCTCACGGTTACTAACGGAGTAAATAAAATTATATGTTGTTTTTTGGTAGGTGCGCTGCGATGGTGGTGATGGCTATAATCAAGTGCCATGTGATTACTGCACATCGGTTGAGCTGGAGTGCACATATAGTCGAAATGTGAACTCTGGTACTGCCCAGAATTCTTCAAAATCAAATGCGAAGAGTCAAGATCAAGCGACAACAATTCATGCCTCAAAATCTAATAACACCAAACAGAGAACCACAAGTGCACGCCGAAACAATTCTATGAAAAGTCAAAAATCACCCATGACAAATACAACTTGGGAGATTTCAAGTGGAAACTCTTTATTAACAACAGCAACATCTTCAAGCGCTTTTCATCCTAATGAGCCGAATCAAATTAGAAGAATTATTCCACAAAGTCTTCCAACCTTTGGTACACGAAAAAATGAATTTGGTTACGCAGTTCAACTTTTGACGGAAGTAACAGGTCAACAGGAGGTAGCGGTGCTCCGCGAGCTTAGTCCTTATATATCTGTTCCCCAAGAGGAACAACATCCTCCACCCCCCCAAGATTCCATTCAAACCCATGAATTCAATGAAAACCTTGTGCATCTTTATTTTCGTAATTTTCATCCATTGCTACCAGTTTTGCATAAAGCATATTTTATGGAGGGACTAAAACGCAGACAAAAACCAATGAATCCATTGTTATTGTATGCCGTCTACGCGATTGGTTCCACCTATTCAGATAATCCAAACGTAAGAAAAGATCCCAGTGATCCGACAACTGTCGGACAAGAATTCTATGAACGTGCGCAAGGTAAGGAACTCTTCGATCAATGACATTATTGATGAAAGAAGGTTTTCTAATGAATTAAAAAAAATCGAATTTCATTATCTTAGCTCTTGTCACCAGAAACTTTGACACGCCGCGTTTGTCTACAGCCACCGGATGTTTTTTATTGGGTATATTTGATGCATTGAGAAGCTTAAAAAGTAGAATGTATGTTGGAATGGCAACTACTTTGGCCGTTACAATGAGATTTCATGATAAAACTGCGTCGGAAAATTTCTCTAAGAATGAAAAAGAAGCTCGAAATAAGGTTAAGATTTTTTATTTATATAAAGATAAATTCTATCAAGTTACCCTTTTCATTTCCGATTGCAAGCTAATAATATATAATGATGATTGCTGTTAACAGTTATGGTGGGCAATTAACATTGTAAACCATCTTACCTGCGTTGCCCTGAATCAACGTTCAGTGTTTGAGGATAAGCATAGTACGATCGACTTGCCGGCAGATACTCAGTCAGCTCAAGATCAACTTGAAACACACATAAACACATATTTCGAGCATTATTCGAAAATCTCTAAAATTTTGTATGACATATTGGAGTTCGCTTTAAACCCAGCAAATGCATTGGACACAGCAACTTTGGAATTAGAGGAGAGATTGAGAGGATGGCAAGTTTCTTTGCCTCCATTTCTCCAGATCGAAAATGCACACCCATTGACCTCTAGTTCCGATGAAACTACGATTGAGCATCTGCGCATCTACTTGTGCATTTTATATCATTACGCGATGATCCGAATTCATTATCCAAATATTGATTCAAAGAATAGCAAAGATATCTGCACTAATGCCGCAAATAAAATCACCGCATTCACCAATGAACATTTAGTTTTCCTCGTCAATAGCAATCAATTCATCGCTCAATGTGCATTGTATGCTGGATATATTCATCTTCGAAATATTCGTGATGGGAAACCAAATGACTCTGAATTGGCAAAAGAGAAGACATTAGAAACAATGTTATTTTTTCAGAAAGTAGAACAAGTTCCTTCACTACATTTCTTAAGCACTGCCATGAAAGATTTAATTGCTATTTTCGCTTCTCAGTTGAAAAAATATTCAACTGGCGATGAACATACAATGCGTATTGTGAATAGTGTTTTGGATAACAGTGGAACTAATTCGTCTTCGTCTTCCACACCACAAATTAATAATAATACCACTGGTTATATCGGCTGGACTAACGAATCTAAATCAAATTTAGATCGTATATAAATTATTAAAATATTGGTGATTCATTGATTAAATGGTTTCCAATTCTACAATGATTTTACTTTATGATATAATAATATCATAAAACATTGATCAAGTGATCCAGTAATTCAATAATTCAGCAATTCAACGACAATAATGATTCAAGAGTACTCATGGGCTTTATTTGGTTAATCATTCTACCATTTTACAATAATTTTTTTAATTTATACTTATCGTTTTATACTCTTTTTTACATTTAATTATCATTCATATTTTATCGCAATTATCATTTATTTTTATCTCAATAATTTATCGAAAATAGTTATCGAAATAGTTTTATCGTAATATCTTATTACTTATTCATCACCAACATATATATATATATATATATATTTGTTAACCTATATTTAGCACACAAAAAAAGTTCCTTTACTCGATTCTGTTCATGAGAAAGTAGTGGTCTTCTTTTCTGCTTTCCGTTTTGTTCTATCATTTTCTTTTTATTCGATAGTTGGCTACTTTGATACCCAACACGTTCGCTCAATTTATTCACTTGTTCTTTTTTACATGCTCTCTGATGTGTTCTCATCTTTTTATCGACATCAGATTCAAATTCTGTTAATTAACTAAATTATTAATTTTAATTATTCACTTTACAGGTGTTTTGTTTTTTTCTGCTGAAATTAAGAAGCTTAATTTTTACATGGAAAAAATAGCACTCGCTTTCATTCTATCGTGAGTTTAATTGTTTTTTGAATACACTATCCAAAATCCTCCTTTTTTAGTCTCTAGTATTTTTTTTTTACACTATCCACATTATAACAGTTTGTTTCTCTATATTGACTGACGGAAAAAATCCGTTAATTTGTTTCTCTTTATTGAATCGTAGTCTTTTTTGATTAATTTCATTTTTATGCTATAAATATGATATACACTCCTATGAAAAATATTAAATATTCGCTGATTCATTCCTCATTTATTTCTTCCTCTCAAATTTGATAATCATGCCTTAAATCTTCGTTTTTATATTCTCTCTTAACCGGTGAAAGTATTTACTTGAATATTGAATTCAATGCGAAAGAGGAATTTTTAAAGTAAACAAAATTAAGTAACATTGTTATATGTCGAAATATTGAAGCCAAAGAGAATTTAATTTGATTTTCTATTTTGGGCAAGCGTCTAAAACTGTCGGCGTTTAACTTGAAAAGTAAAAAACTGTCGAGTTCATGAATTCGCGCCAATTAATTTTCATTCACACGTGGTGTGGTCGTGAAAATATCATCGTATATTTTTGCGATCACACATGGCCTGTCAAATTATTTTTCCTTTAAATAGACACATTTTATGATGCCATTTAGAGTGAATATAAATTCGGTATGTTGCATTGTCGAAAAAAGCATAATAGTTACGATTTTAATAATTGCTGTGATCTATGGAATAATTCATTTCGTTTCAATTAAGTTTTAATTTTCAAGTTTATGAGACGTCAATTCTTTGTGATGCAAAGACAAAAATTCCAATAACGATCATTTTTTTAAATAACAATAACGATAAAAAAAACCAATTCATTTGGCTTAAATAATTGATTATATGATAAAGTTGCAAATAGTGTACGAAGTCATGAATAATATGCAAGAAACAATGAACAGAACAGCGAAACTTGTACAACAACAAAGACCATTATGCCAAGAATTGTAATTGATATCATCGAAATTTATTTCATAGTATTATGGCGGATTACCTGTTTATAGAAAGAATAAAATGGTATTCGCATGCATGTTCAGAATCGTATTTTTTATCATTAACAATTAACAATTACTTAATCCACCGGTAAATACGAGAATAACTAATTCTTCGTATTTTCGCATAAACAAAAAACAGATGGAAGACACACAAAGTATGTTTTCCAATCGGATAGATTTTGAAAAAACGAAATGTTTGTCGGCCACTCTATACATGTATTTTTGACCGTCCCAAAAGATCCAATCAAATATTTTGTGTGACTGTTTTGTGCATATGCATCATCGAACGCATTTAAGGAAACAATGTAAGTAGATACAAAATTTGCAACTTATTATTGCTAATTTTGGAACTCAGAATTTCAAACATGGTCGATTTATTCTTCTCAAAGAGGAAACGAGTCCCATGTTAATTAATTAATTTATAATTTAAATGAGGAAAAGGGGGAGGGGGTTCTTATCATTATGTATATCATGGAAAATATAACGAACAATGATAGCAAGAATTCCAAATCTTCGAAACTTTCTAAATTTAAGATATCGATATGATCTAAAAAATATCGAGTTGGTTATTTTTCAATTACTGTAAATAGAATTTGGATCGGTAAAATTTGCCATTAATAAATATTTCAAATTCAATACGTACGTTTTTTTATATTCTAAACTCCCATATAAAATAAAGATCGATTATTTAGTTATACAATTACGGAAAAATAACAATCACACGTGTGAATAACGATTAAAACACAATCTTCGAGCATAAGAATATCTTGTGCACTGAGAAAATCTTGTACTAATGACTATTTTTTAAATAAACATCCACCATAAAACGGGTTTCTACTTGTAATCTTTGTTTTTCTTTTGACAGCAAAACAATAGAATTGCAAATTCATGTAACCTTTCACAATGTTTAACTAAAATTTAATGACATAAGACGAAATTAACGGATTTTTTGGCTTCCATTTTATGCAAGAAACTTTCCGGTATATGTGCAGACTGTATCACTTCAATCAACTTGTTTCTCTGCGATCGTGTCCTAATTTCATATAATAATATCCATATAAAGCAATTTGCTCAATTAAAATGTTAACCAAATATGATGAATAAATGAATGAATGGATCGAGTTTTGCCCTCAAATAAACCGGATATTGCTTACAGAAACCGGAAGGAAAGGTTATCTCTTTTTGATTTTGTTATATGCAAGTACCATGCATGCATGCATACTCGTTCTTTGGTATCTAGCAGCCAACATTGTCTTTCTTCGATGAATAACGAAAGAATTGTTAATCGTATGACTGCTCGAAATAGTAGTGATTGTATCTTCGAATCGTCAAACAACGAAAGCCAGACAATCATTGTTTGATTGCACTACATGACACTAATTCAAGGGTGAAACAACAATCAATTATGGTAAACATCAGCTGATTTTCCGAAATATTCTTATTTGTGATTGAAACCACAGGTGTTTCGAGAATAATAATAATAGTTAAAGAAAAATATTAATATATAAAGATACGATTATTATTATTATTATTATTCTTCTTCTTCTTAATAACATGTTTTCATTTTAAAGGTAAACAATCGGTCCTTCTTTTATTAAATATAAAAATTTATCCTTATAACGGTCATCGAGAGATTTTATTTCAAGAACAACGAGGTGAGTAAAAAATGTATAGTTTATTTTTTTTGAGAGAAAACCCGACCACATACATGCCTAACTTTTGTGTCTTTTTATACACCACGTACGACACCTACGTATAAAGTTTACACTAGTGAATATATGGTGTTGTCTACGGATAATCTTGCCATCTAACTATCTAGCCACATTGTATGTGTAAGACAACTATTTGTTTGTATTGTTTTATTGTTTAAAACGCCATTGCAACCGGGCAATTATTAACTGGACCTGTTAGACAGTTAATAAATGGTTTAACCAAACTGTGATTAACCGCTGTTAAAGAGTGACTTTCTACAAAAATATTGAATAAGGATTAATCATAGTATCATATAGATTTATCATGTGTAATTATATACTGTATATATAAAATCGAGGTTAACGTTAACCGATGAGATTAGTGAGTGTTTGAATACGATAAGAATTTTTAAGCAGCAGCACCAATCACTAATAAATAACGAGAATATGAAATAATAAACATTTTAATAATATGTGCTTAAAAAATAATTTAAGTGGATTGTTTTGATTAAATGTCTGGTAGAATATTTCAAAATGAATTATTCTGATTGAACTTTCTTACTCAAGGCAATAAGATATTAACTTTTCATATTTATGATATATATCTTTAGCGAAACCTTACCATACTGAATAATTTTACGAACGTAACGGTTTTAATTAATCGTACCGACACTCGTTTATTGAGTTTGCCTTGTAATTTTACGATTAAATTTTTCTTGATGTTACAAAGTTTCGAAATATTTTGAACTCGGGAGTTGAATACAATTTAGTATGATTTACGTATAATATGAGAAATAATACAACTTCGCAATGACTTGATTTCATTATTCGGTGTTTTGATTAAAGCACAGCAGCTTGTGTAATATTTTATGAGCTTGTGTAATATTTTATGACGCTGTGACTATTTTGGTCACAGAAAACTGCATGCGGACAAATTTAACAACCGCACAATTTTGTTCTATTCTCTCGATTGATTCTTCGTGACTCAACGGTAAATTGGAAACTACTACGGTGTCACGTCCGAGACGAATCACAAATAACTCAATTCTACAATAAATAAATTTCATCAACTTGCAAGTCATAGTACGTGATTTGTAGGTGACCTCAAAATATCGACACATTTCATGATAAAAGGATACGCGAGAAAACGGCCATTAACTAATCAAGTCAAAAACCTCTTTTTACCTCGATTTTGCATCTTTTTAGTGGCATCATACCAAGAGATCAAAATAAAATTCGTTGTATGATAAAATGAGCAACTTTCTACTCATGGGTAAGGCATGATACGTTCACGAAATCTAAAGACGATAATTCGGAATTTCATTACAATATAGCAAAATCGTGTACAATCAAATCTCGATATGACGATATTGTCAGGATAAATTATTAGAAATGATGAAATATTGTTATGCAGAGAATTTACTGCAAAATCATTGCATATATAATGATGGGTCGGCATAATGAGGTTTGACCGTACTATTATTGCGATAGAATGTAAGGAATAATAAAAAAGAAGTAAATTGAATCATATCTAATTAAGTGTGCAATTTTTAGTCATAAAACGAATTCGTAGCGAGTTCACATTACA